CTTATGCAGCCTAGAAACCGGAACGGTGACCTATCCTAGCCTTGAACTTGAACCAGATGGAACTGGAGACAATTGCACACATCGCTGAACCCAGAGCTCCCATCCCATCATCAGTATTATTATTATTTTTTTTTTAATTTTTTTTTTCAACGTTTATTTATTTTTGGGACAGAGAGAGACAGAGCATGAACGGGTGAGGGGCAGAGAGAGAGGGAGACACAGAATCAGAAACAGGCTCCAGGCTCTGAGCCATCAGCCCAGAGCCTGACGCGGGGCTCGAACTCCCGGACCGCGAGATCGTGACCTGGCTGAAGTCGGACGCTTAACCGATTGCGCCACCCAGGCGCCCCTCATCAGTATTATTTTTAACTGAACCCTGACCCGAACAGAAGGGAATGCTGCTGAAATTGAAACTGAACTTGTGTATTTTTTCAAGCTAAGGTACTAGCATATTCCAATATTCTTGAGTCAGAGACAACCACATAGAGAATTTTACCCTAACGCCTTCGCTCTGTGTGTTTTGGTTTGCCTAAGGTTTTACGGTCGTGGCAGAACTGAGAGATTCTTGGTCTTTATGAAGCAGACAGCTGTGATGCTCTTTACCCTCCTTGCCCTCCTTCAGAACACACACCCTTGTCCAAGTTTGCTGAGTAGAGGGAGGCTTCGGCCGCCCCTAGGGGACGAGAATTTCCCACCATCCGGGGACAGGCAGTTTCAGCCTGAACCTGATAACTCAGGAGGGGGGCTCCCTGAGTGGAAGCTTTGTGCCCTTGGCTGAGAAATTGTAACTTTCCATCGAGGCCAGTGATCCTCAGTATTCAGGGAGCCTGGCTGGGGTGTGTCAAGTTCCAGGTGGCCTTCGTCTCATCTGGATCAGGCCGGCACAGTTTGTGGCCGTCTCCTACTAAGGAGGCTGGGGGGGGGGGGGACTGTGAAGAGACTTGGGGCCCTTTGGGAGACATTCATCTTTCCAGTGCTTTATCATTTTTTCCATAACAGTACTCTCCCTTCAAGGTGGAAAGTCCCAGCTGGCGGCTTAGAATACACTCAATGTGCTTTTGTTTTCTGCCCCCCCCCCCCCCCACCCCCGCCCCCAGTCCGGGAAGCAGGGTGCTGGTGCCCCTTCATTTACACCAGCCTGCTCTGGACTTGCCATACTGACAGATGGTGTAACAGAGGCAAGCCCTTAACAAACCACAGGATGACACGTCCCTGGTTCGAATCTTAGCTCTGCTACCTGCTAATCGTGCAAACCTGGCAGGGCAGTGAACCTTTCTTTCTGCGATACAGTGTCTCTATCTGCAAACTGGCATGGGTGATAATATGACCGGTGTTGAGGACTGAATATACGGAAAGTACTTAGAACAGTGCCTGATACATAGTAAGAGTGATGTAGTTGCTTGCTATTATTATTACATGCCTTTGGACAATTTATCTCCTTTCTCTGGGCCTCGGTTTCCCCAACTATACAATAAAGAAAGCAGTTCCTACCTGACCTGAGTGCAAATCCTGACTACGCTTCCTTGGACAAATTTCTTGGGTTTTCTTAGCCTCACTCTGCTAAATCTGCTCATCTGTTAAATGGTACTTATTAAGTAGATGGGTGTGGTGATAATTAGATAAGAAAACGTGTATCAAGCATATAACATGGGGCCTAGCACACAGAAAGAGCTAAAACAAAGTTAGCTTTTTTTTTTTAGTGGGTGAGAAAGACTTTTCTAAACTATCATGGGTCATGTCCCTGGGAGGAGTATTGTGGTTTTGTCACATGCTTTCCCAGCTATGCTTTATTCACAGACTCCTAGAGTTAGAGGGGTCAGGATTGGAAGGGCCATTTTGCAGATCCATTAATCACTCCATTCAACAGGTATTTATTGATCACCTATTATGAGCCAGGCACTGTTGTAGGTGGCTGGGGAAAGAGAAGTACTGGGGGCCCTAACCTCATGGGGCATTTATTCCCGGGGGGTGGGCAGACAGTAAATGGGTTCGCACATGAATATATGATACAAGTTCACATTCAATCTCTTTATTTTACAGATGGGAGAACTGAAGCCCAAGAGGGGAAGAGATTTTCCTAAAGTCCTCCAGTGTCACAGCAGGGCAAAGACTCCCAAGCAAATCTTTACAGTCCCAGAGTATCCCACCCTTAACGAGCCCTGGTCAGGGCGCCTGAGTGGCTCAGTCTGTTAGGTGACTGACGATTGATTTCGGCTCAGGTCATGATCTCACGGTTCCTGAGTTCGAGCCCTGCATCGGGCTCTGCACTGACAGCACGGAGCCTGCTTGGGATTCTCTCTCTTTTTTTCTCTGCTCCTTCCCCGCTCGCAATCTCTCTCTCCCCAAATAAATAAACATTTAAAGAAGATTAAAAAAAAAAACAAGCCCTGGTTTCCCCAAGGTCTTAAGATATGCTAGTGGGAACCAACAGTCACTGAATCTTCCTTGACACAGGGACTGTTTTAAGAAATTTACACATCTTTAAAAAAAATTTTTTAAGGGGCGTCTGGGTGGTTAAGCGTCCGACTTCAGCTCGGGTCATGATCTCGCGGTTCGTGAGTTCGAGCCCTGTGTCAGGCTCTGTGCTGACAGCATGGAGCCTGGAGCCTGTTTCGGGTTCTGTCTCCATCTCTCTGCCCCTCCCCTGCTCACGCTCTGTCTCTCTCTTTCTCTCTCAAATATAGAAGAAAACAAAAACATTTTTAATAAAAATTTTTAAATGTTTTTTATCTTTTTTTGTTTAAAAAATTTTTTTTAATGTTTATTATTTATTTATTTATTTATTTTTGAGAGAAAGAGACAGAGAGTGAGGGGGAGAGGGAGACACAATATCGGAAGCAGGCTCCAGGCTCCGAGCACAGAGCCCGACGCAGGGCTTGAACTCACGGACTGTGAGATCATGACCTGAGCTGAGGTTGGACGCTTAACCGACTGAGCCTCCCAGGCGCCCCAAGAAATTTGCACATCTTAGGTCATTGAATCCTCACATCAGTCCTGAGGAGGGAACTGTCATGAATCCTATTTTATAGATGGGGAAACTGAGAGACAGAGAGATAGAGGATTGAACACAGACCCTCTGGTTCAGGACCCATGACCCACCTCAACCGCTGAGCTGCCATGTTGGCTGCATACTTTTCCCCCTGACCCTGGTCTACTCTTCCTCCCTCCCTCCCTCCCTTGCTCCCTCCCTCCCTCCCTCCCTCCCTTCCTTTCCTCCCCTTCCATCCCTAATCCTGGTCTCAATGACTTCTTCCACACTCTGAGTAGCCTGGGGTAAGCCCGCCCCCTCTCTCCAGTTCTCAGTTTCCCCATCTGTAAATTGGCAGGATTGCACTGGATTATCCTCAGGGCCTTCCACGAACACCCTCATTAGTCCCTTATCCGTTTGTAACCATTTTATTCACTTACTTGTGTTCTAGCTTGCTTTCCCCACCAGACGGGGGCTCCAGGGAGCAGCATCCTACTGCTTCGGTTTGCCTCTACCTCCCCAGAGCCTGGCACTGTGCCCCGCACTTAGTAGGCCCTCAATAAATATTTGTGGATGAAGAAAGGAAGAAATGACAGCGATTACCCTCAGTGTTCTCAAAACCAGCTCCTGTGCTCTCCCCCTGGCCCCTCTTCCTTTCTCAGCCTGTGGGGCCCCCTCCCTCCCTCCCTCCCTCCCTCTCACCTCCCAGGGCCGACTCAGGCCCTCCATCCGGCTTGCATTTTTCCGGGTTTGATATCATTTTTTCCACTCTCCGGCTGCTGCCGGCTGCCTCTGCCAACTTTCCACAACTGGAGCCCCTCCCCCACAACCGCAGGCCAGAGACAGCTTGGGGTGGGGGAAGACCCCCCTCCTCCTCCCTTAACCCGAGCTGGAGTTAGGATAAGGAAATAAGTGCCATCAGTGCCCTGCTGGCAAGACTGGGGGCTTGAAGACGGAGGATATGGGGCTCGTCTGCCCCAAGCTCCAGCCTTCTTTGGCACCGTGTTCCTGGTGGCCAAGGCATCCGGGCGGGCAGCTGGTTGGGGGCAGGGGTGTCAGGCGTCAGGGACATGACGGTCCCAACCATTCGCATCTTGTTCTCCTCTCAAAGTAGTGACACCCCTTTCCCCTTCGGCTGGAAACTCCTGACCTGACCCCTAAGGTCCAGCCTCAGCCCCACAGCCCCAGCCAGGCTGGATGCCTCACTACCTCCTACTTCCTGCGCAGACATGAGAGGAGGCTGGGTCCTGGGGTCTAGTCCTCACCCTCCCTAGCTGGGTGACACTGGGATGCTCACTTCCTCTCTCTGGACTTCAGTTCCCACACTCAGAAAAATGAACGAGTTGAACTAATCCTGGGGATTAATGGATGGGTTTCATGGAGGCAAGGATCCCCCTCCAGGTTAAATCATATGCAAACTTGTGTTTGAAAGTCCCCTTCCCCAGGACTCTATAGCTTTTTGTCACATTCTCCAAGAGGACTGCAGATAAGGGCACAAACCCTAGCCTGACAAGCCTGGATTGGAATTTTGACAACTTCACTTATAGTAGCTAAATGATCTTGACCGCGGACCTTCACCGTCTATTGGTCTATTTTCCTAATTAGTAAACAGGGTTTGTGAAGATCAATTCCTAGTTGTGACAGCTTAGAACACAGCTCCTAACAAAGGATAGCTATTACATCGTGAGGATGAATGCTGAGATTCCTTCCAGATGAGATTTTATGAATCTACAATCTAAAAAAATGGGTTTATGAGAAAATAGGAGGTCAGCACACTGAACTGTGGTTGTTTATGCTCCACGGGGTCTCCCTCGAAGATGGGGGAGGGGGCACGAGGGGTGCCGCACAGGGGTCATGCCCAGTGTTCGGAGAAGGGGAGAAGGGCCTGAACACACAATTGGTCCAATGATTTGACTGACCTTGACCCAAGTCAGCAGGTTAACCCAATCCGCAGCCAGGGTAGATGGGAGAGTGGGAGGTGGAGATGCCTGGAAGATTCCAAAAGAAGAGGTCTGGGCATGCAGACAGGACATCCTTCTGGTCTGGTTTATTGTGAGTTGGCCAGAGCCAAGGGACAAGGAAGATTTTTACAAAAAGACACGCACCGCGTAAAAAAAACAAAAACAAAACCCTACTCTGTGCCCAACTTGAGGCTTCGGTCCCATAGTCTGTCCACCCCTTCCTGGGGCGGAGGGGGTCCCTGAAGCTGCAGCTCTGGGAGATGCTGCGGCCCTCGGGGCAGCGGACAGGCACAGCCCACTGTGCCGAGTCCAGGCAACTGCGTCGAGGACCCTCGGTGGCATCGGTGGAGCTCAGAATGCAGCCCAGTGCTCCGCCACCCCCAGAAGGCAGGGCAGCCTCAGAGCACCGCCAGGTTGTGGCAAGACTTAGAGCGGGCCTTGAGTGCCCGGCGGGCGCTGCGGGCCGTCAGCCGTGCCAGGAAGCGACGAGCCCGCTGACCCAGGCTGGCGCGCCGTCGGGGCGCGGGAGGCGCCGGGGCCGAGCTCTCCCGGCGGCGCAAGCGCAGTTGGCGCACCACGCCCTCGAAGAGCTCGGCCACGTTGTGCTGCAGCGTGGCCGACGTCTCGATGAACTTGCAGTCGAACACCACCGCGCAGGCGCGGCCCTCTGAGGGGCGGGGTCAGACGGGCCGGGTGGAGGGGGACATAAAGGTAGGAAGAGGTGCGTTGAGTCTCAAGCTGAGTCACTTTTTTCTTTGTGCCCTAACTTGCGTTGGGTGCCAGGGGATTCCGAGGACAACGAGACCCGGCTCTGAGGAGTTAGTGCACAGGCTAGTGACTGATACTGATGCAAAGCGAGGCTGGGAAGGGTCTTGAATGCCAGGTAAAGGGTCTAAGCTGTGCATTAGAATTATCTGGGGGAGCTTGTTAAAATGCGGATTCCTGAAACCACCAGCCAAGAATCTGATTTGGGAGGTTTGGGATGAGATCTGGGACAGCATTTTCACAAAATCGCCTGGGGGTTTTGCTGCGGAATTTGGGGATGTTTGCTCACAAGGCATATATCGTCTTCCACCTCCAGGAAGCCACTGGGCTGGGAGACAGGGGCCTGGGTTCTAGCTCCCAGTGGCTGGTGACCCCGTGGAGCTGGCTTACCTTCTCTGGCTCTCAGTTTCCATATTTTTTAGATTTTGCCCTGTGAGGAAGGCCATTTTGAGATCTTTATGGGTCCCACATGTTATCAAATGTATTGAAATTAATTCCCCATCCCACTTTAAATACAACTTACATATAACTAAACGTTTTGGTTTGCAGTTGTTGGCTGTCACAATATGAAGTTTTGTAGATGATTAAAGCTTTGTGAAATTGGAATTTACAAATTTCTCACTGTATTTGTTTTGGAGCTCATAATTGTTTCAGGTCTCAGGTATAAGCCCCTGAAAAGATTGTAGGCAGTGGACCTATCCCGTCCGGTGGATAAAGCGTCTCTGATTAAGGGCATGGGGGAGCCATAGGGGGATTTTTACGCAAAGTAGTGACAAGGTCAGGTCTGGTTTTGGAAAACTCTGGCAGCTGGCGAGGAGAACTGATTGAACGGGGAGAGAGAAGTAGGGGGGCTGGCCCAGACTAAGGTGGAGATGCCAGGATGGGGCAGAGGTTGTGGGCATGGGGGGAAGGGAACGTGGGGTTAAGGGAGGTGGGCCTCACAGGATTTGGGGGACTGGTTTCCGGAAGTGAGAGAGGAGGCGAGAACAGTTCCTAGCTTTCAGGCTGAGGCAAGCAGATGCAGGATGGGGCCAGGGTTAGGGTTAGCGGCAGAGAGAAAGCTGGAGGAGGAGGGTGGAGTAGACGGCTCACCTTCCACGGAGACTTCCCGGCAGCGTGCCAGGTCAGCCTTGTTGCCCACCAGGATGATGGGCACATGGTCGGCCTGATGCGTGCGCCGCAGCTGAATGCGGAGCTCAGAGGCACTCTCGAAGCTGCCTCTGTCTGCGATGGAATACACGATGACATAGGCGCTGCCCACCTGCAGGCATGAATCCTGGCTCCAGCTTTCATCCTGCAACAGAGGGACCCCAGGCCTATCCTCAAACCGTAAGGTACCTACCTCTCCGCTAGAGGGGCGTCGCTGCGAAAGGTGGGGCTGGGATGGTCTGATGGGTGGACCGGGGCTGAGGCTCACAATCTAGACAGGTTTGAGGAACAAATTCTGCCGTTGTTGTCTGTATCGTCGCCGTGGGCAAACCACCGACCCTCTCTGAGCCCCAGTTTCTCTTTGCAAAATTGGGCTAGTGAACCCACCTGACTATATTTTCTCATTCCTGGATTCCTAGTGTGGGCTGGACACTGGAGACCAAAGATTTGTTTGGTTTCTCTTCCTGCTGAGAAGGGTTCAGCTCTTGTGTCTGGTTTCTGAGGAGGGCTCAGTCTTGCTAGACTGACAGCAAGGAGCCTGCTTAAGATTCCCTCCCTCCCTCCCCCCACCTCTCTCTCAAATAAATAAGTAACTAAGTAAATAAATACTCAATCCAATGACACTGCTACTGTGGACCCTTTTTGGAAATTGCCTCGACCCTCCACCGTCACTAACTTGTTCAAACTGAACCAGTTTCCCCATTTTACTTGTAGGAAAACCAAGGGCCAGAGGAGAGAGAAAACGTTCTCAAGGCCATACAGCCAGCCAGCTGGGCACAGAATTCCAGTTCCAGTACTCCTCCCCCCGCCTGCCTCCCAAATGGGACTTCCAGGCTGATCCCTTTTCTTAATTCACTGGACTCTGCCCCATAGGATTTTCAATTGCATTCAAAAGTAGCCCCTCCCTCACCAGCCTGTGAGCTCCATAAGGCCAGGGGACGCATCTATCTTATACGCTGCTGGGTCTCCAGTGTCCTGGCCCGTGATACATATCCCGCTAGTGTTTTTTAATGAATGGGCAAAGGGGTGAAACCCCAGCTGAAGGCTCAGAAGGTGGTGTTCCCAGTGGCGATGGAGAGGGACAGTCCTCGTGCATAAGAGTACAGACTCGGAGGGCACCTGAGTGGCTCAGTTGGTTAAGCAGCTGAATCCTGACTTTGGTTCAGGTCATGATCTCACAGTTCGTGAGTTTGAGCCCCACATTGGGCTCTGCGCTGACAGCACGGAGCCTGCTTGGGATTCTCTCTCTCTCCACCCCTCCCCTGCTCTCTCACTCTCTCTCTCTCTCTCAAAACAAAACAAAACAAAACAACACAAAACAAAAAAACAACTTAAAAAAAAAAGAATACAGGATCAGAGTCTTACAGATCTGGGTTTGAATTCCACTTGCTCTCTGACAACTTTGGACCCATTACTGAACCTCTCTGAGCTTTGGTTTACTCATCAGTAGAATGGGAATCAGAATACTCACAGATTTTGCTTTGCCTGAACATCATAATATATATACAGAGCTTAGCACAGGGGCTGACTCTTGGGAAAAGGGTGGGCTTCCACCCAGCTGCATAAATGCCAGCTGCTGTTAGGAAGACCGTCATCATCCTCATCACGCTCATTTGGACTTGGGTGTTCTTTTATTCTGCCGGAAAAGAATTGGCCACTTAGCTCCTTCGTCCCCATCCTTTCTGCCTATCGCTAGGGCTGTCAGCCATTCTGGCCAATCACCCAACAGTGCCCTCCTAAGCCCCACCCCATGGGCGAGGCCTCTCTGCATGTTAGGGGCGGGGCCTACCCCTTACTGAGATAGGCTCCCGGTGATTTTTACATCCTTCTCTCTGGTTGTATTTCTTCAAAGTTCTACAGTGAGCATGTATTATCTGTATAGCAAGAAAAAAGAAAACTCAGACAAGGTGAGACAAGCATAACAGGGACATATCCCTGTCTGCTTTCTTCCTGCTCTGGAAGGGGGTTGGGAAGGACTTCCTTTGGTTTCTTTCTTTACTAGCTACCAAGTTACGAGTCATTAGAATGATCATTATTTACATCTCTTCACCTATTTTCAGCATTGTCTCATGCTGCACACCGCTTGCTCACCACTGTGAAATTGCATAAGGACTTAAAAAAACCAGCTGGTAAGGAAGGCAGGAACGATCAACCCATCTATCAGTTGAGAAAACTGAAGCTCAGGGTGACTGGTGAGTCACCTGCACAAAGCCACACAGCTGGGAGGCAAGAGAAAGGGGGTCGGTTTACCCTCAGACATTTTGGTGCTAAATGCGGTGTTCCTCCTTCTGCACAGTGTGTGGGGGGTAGTGTGTGGGATGAGGGTCCTGAGGACAAGGTGGGGGTCGGCAGGGGGAGAAGCACATCCTGGGACGGCTGTAGAGGGCATCAATGCAGTGAGAAAGGACTCACGGTCATGAGGTTCTTCAGTCTTTGGTTCCAAAGGCTGCTTGGGAGTTGTTGGCCTTGGGGGTTGCCAAGGATGGCCTCTGCCATGTCCCTGTTGTGTAGTGTCCGAGGAGGGGATAGGGGTCTGGTCCTAGGCTCAGCACCTCCCTCCCCCCACCCAAGTCCTGCCTGCTGTGCCATACCCGTTTCTCAGCCTCCCAGGTGTCCATGACCACCAGCGTGGTATCCTCTCCATCCACCGTGAGGGTCCTCTCGTACACATCTGCAACCAAGGGAAGAGCCAGATCTCAGGGAGGAGGAGCAGGCCTGGGGAGGGTGTGGCCTCCCCTAGTCCCCTTTCTGATCACAGCGCCCCCTCCACTTGTGTTGGAAGTGCTCCCCGCACTTGCTTGATGTCTTGTCTCTCCTGACAGGTCAGGAAGCTCCACGAGGAGCCCATGTCTCCCCAGCTGCCAGCAAGATATCTGACACATAGTAGGTGCTGAGAAAACTTTTGCTACTTTGGTTGGTTGTTGGTTGACACATATGAGATGGTGGGGTTAAAGTTGGCTGGGAATTCTCTCATTCCTGTTCTGTCCCTGGCTTAGTGCATGCTTCAGGCAGGTCGTATGAACCCTCTTTGGGCCTCAATCTCCGCATTGGTCACACCTACAGGTACACGTATGTACATGCCTCATATGGGTTCTCACACTCAGAGGGGTCAAGGCTGGAGAAGGGGCCTGGCCAGAGTGTTCCCACTTTCTCTTTGCTTTTAACCAACCTCCCTCTCTACTCATCCTGTGGACTCTCAGTCCTGTAGGGACCCCTCTTCATTTCCTCTGTCCTGTCCCTTCTCCCCTCATCCTGGGGCCCCCGGCTCTCTCTGCTCACTGCATCACTTGAGGATAAGGGAACCTGGGAAGTCTCCATTTGGGTCAAGATCTTAATTTTGCTGCTGGTCATGGTGGGCGTGGATGGTTGTCTGTGGAGGTAGGAGGATCTGAGAGGTGGAAGTTGGGGCTGGGAGTTTCTGAGCTGGCTGGAAGCCTACTTATTTCTTTCCCTTTGAGACTCATGGAGCTCAGAATTGCTTCCCTTATGACATGGAAATTAATCATCCCTGAGAAACTGGCAAAATTCTCACCATTCAACAAATTTCCCTCCTCTAGACCATTGTGTGGGCTGTGCTCTGCACAACTGTCAGGGGGCATCATTCACTTCACAGTCTATGTGAATGATGCCCTTTAGAGTTGAGCAGTGTGTGAGTTGCACAACTGTTCTTGGCAGCCTTGTGCCCCTGACTACAGGGCTTTTACTCCTGTGGCCACAACCCAGCCCAGCCCACAGAGTCCCTACCTCCAAGCTGTTCATGGAGGTCTCGCTCTTGCTTCCCTGCAAAGAGGCTGGCCAGGCTGGTCTTCCCTACGCCAGGATCTCCAAGCAGTACCACGCGGTAGAGGGCCTCCCAGGAGCCTTCAGAGTCGCTGGATTCAGAGGACCAACCATTGGGGGCAGGTGAAGGTTGCCGGGGGGGAGGATTGAGGGAGGCTGACTGGCCCAGCCGGGGATGCTGGGATTTTGTGGAAGGTGCTGTACATAGGAGGCCAGGTTGGTGGCCCCGGGCGGACAAGGGCAGTGGAGTGCTGGCTCGCCGACGCAGGGGGGTCTTTGCTTCTTGCTGGGTGTTTAGTGTCATCCTTGGGTGGGAGGGGCTTTGCTCCTTCCTTCCTTCCTTCCTTCCTTCCTTCTGTGAGCAAGAAGCAGGAATGGGCAGTGAGCCAGGTGCTGTCACCCCCTTCTGCAGGGTCCAGATGAGCTTCTGAGATGACTTCCTCCCAAACCTTCTCTTGTTCAAATGACAGGAGGAGGCACCTCAGCTCCTTGGGGTGGGGGCTTTCTGGCTTCAGGGCCAGAGTAAGCCTAGAGCAGGCTGGGAGGGGTGAGCGTGCAGGCTGTGAGCACACGCATGCACACCCAGAGGTCACTTCCTATGCCTTGAGGATGACCGAATACCCCAGGACACGCAGGCAGAGACAGGCAGAGGGGCAGCAGGGAGGTGGGATCCATACAAGCATGCACACACCCTGTCCACAGACGTGTCCCTCCCATTCGGAACATGGGACCTACGTTCTGAAAGACACCTGAATTGCCCCGGCCCTCCCCTACCCCACAGCTCACTTCCCCAAGGTTCAGATCGGGGTTGGGGGGTACGAAGGAGGGTTGAGGGCCCCTGGGGGGTTCACTTCCGCTGAGGGCTAAGAGGCAGCACGGGGTGGGTTGGTATTCCGAAGGGCGATGGGAATCTGGGGGTTCCCTGGGCTGTAACTCGAGAGCCCTGGTGCCATGGGAACGGCGTGTCCGGCCCGCCCCCTACGTGAAAAATTCAGGAGATGCTGGCGCGACAGCCTCCAGCGGCTGCTGGGGGGCAGGGGTTGCGAGGCAGCCGGGCCCCAGGTTAGGTGACAGGACAGGGTCCTGGAAGGGGGCGGGGAGGAGACCTCCGGGGCCCCGGGGCGCATGTGCCATTCCCGGGGTCTGAGTCCAGGCCTCCCCCGCCCAGGGTCCTGGATGTAAGTCCCCTGATCCCGGGAGGGTTCCTTGTCCGAGGCTATCCAACCCTCCGGGCCCCAGGTCGGAGGACCCTCACCCCGGGGACGCGGGTTCGAGGCCTCCCTCAACCCTGCCTGCGCCGCAGAGCCCCCCGTGCAGGCGCCTGGCGAACTCCGCTCCAACTTGACTAAGTTGGCGGCGGGCTGCGCGGGCGTTTACCTCGCTTGAGGAGGGGTCCAGGGTCCCCGGCCGCCGCAGCTGCCGGGTGCTCCAGGCTGCACCACCGCCTCGGCGCGCAGCCCCTCGGGCCAGTCCCGCCCCGCCGCCCGGGCCGGGGGAGGAGCCGAGACCCCGCCCCGTCCAGCCCCGCCCCATCAGGGCAGCCCCGGGGTCCCCGCCCCGAGGCCTCGGTCGCGGAACGACTTTTCACCGAGCTCAGTTGACCCACGCCCCAAGTCCTTCGCCTGGGGTGGTAGTGGCGGTGTCAGGGTTGCGGGGTGGGGGGGGGGGGCGGGAGCGAGAGAGGAAAGATGGGGTTTCTGAATTCCTGGGTCTGGATCCTCTTCTGCATTCACGCCCGCAACCGGGTGCACCAACTTTATTTCGCCCTCGCAGAAACCACCTGCGGAACTGGTTGAATGTTGATTCCCAGGGCCCACCCTCCAAGAGAGGCGGGTTCAGCAGTTCTGGGAGAGGGGGTTGGGAATCTGCATTTCAAACAAGTGCCCAAAGTGACCTTTAGGCTGAGTTCATGGGCCCCCACTTTGAGAAACTCTCCTCTGGATGGTGAGTCCAGGGGAGGAGGGAGCTTAGGTCTGCGCTGAAGACTTCTGATACCTGACTTTGGCATCCCATTCATTCATTCACCAAATTCTGGGTTAAGCACTCTTTATGCAGGGGTCTGTCCCGTGTCTGGAAGAATGGCGGTCCCCTCTTTGATGAATATTTACTGAGCATTTGGGCTGTGGCTAGTATGATTTGAGCGCTTTGCCTAGATTATTAGCTCATTTAATCCCGACACAACACTGAAAGGATATTTAACTGAAGCTTACCTGGCCCTGGGACTCAGGTTTCTGCCTCGCAACCCACTGTCCCTTTCTTTCACCGCCGTGGCTTAGAAAAAAAAAAAATCTTCCTAGGCACTTGAAGGAGAGAGACACTGTGATGCTGGTAGAGTAGAGCTGTTGGCTATAGGGAACTGGTGATTTGGGCCATCCAGGGGGCGAGGATCCAGGCTCCTTGGGCAGGGTGCTTCCTTTGAGATCATGAGGGACTGGGGAGGGCAGGTTTGTGTGTGGGGCCATGCAGAGCAGGCTGTACTTGTGGGTGGAGCTCATTGTCATGGCTGAGGGGGTCCAGGTGTCCAGCTCAGAGCAACTCCCACAGCAGCCTGTAGATTAACTCAGCCCCGCAGGGCTCTGGGCAGACGCTGAGCCCCCTCATGTCTGTGCTCTGTGCTCTGGCCTTCTGAGAGTCCCTTTCCTACCTACAAGATGGGCTGTGACTGATGTCATGTCGCACATTGTCTGGGAGTGAGGCAGCTTGGTTTCCAGCCCCAGCTCTGTGGCTCAATTGCTGTACGGCCTTGAGCAACACACCTCCTTTCTTGAGGTTTCAGTTTCTTTATTTCACAGTGATATCTGGACAGGTTACACAACGCTTACAGCCTGAACTTGGCATTCAAGGCTCCTCGTGCTCTGGCTCCTATCCTCCGCAGGGCCATTTCCAATCTCTCCTCCTAATGAACCCCTCTCTGGCCATGCCCCACTCTTTCAGGTACATTCTTTTCCTTCTGCCTGGAATTCTGTTTCTGCTATTCCTTTCTCAAGAGGCAACTCAGATGCCCGGGTAGGACACCGTTCTAAGCTATTTGCACATATGGTCTCAGTGGTCCTCAAATTTTAGCTGTGCATTAGAATCGTTTGGAGGCTTGTTAAACCACAGCTTGCTGGGACCTGCACCCAGAGCTTTTGATGCAGCAGGTTTGGGCAGAGCGTGAGGATTTGCATTTCTTTTTCTTTTATTTTTTTTTTTTTAGAAACGTTTTTATTTGTTTTTGAGACAGAGAGAGACAGAGCATGAGCGGGGGAGGGGCAGAGAGAGAGGGAGACCCAGAATCCGACGCGGGCTCCAGGCTCTGAGCCGTCAGCCCAGAGCCCGACGCGGGGCTCGAACTCATGGAGTGTGAGATCATTGGAGTGTGAGATCTTGACCTGAGCTGAAGTCGGACGCTCAACCGACTGAGCCACCCAGGCGCCCCAAGGATTTGCATTTCTAACAAGCCTCAGGTATTGCTGCTGTATGCTGGTGTGGGTATCACACTTCGAGAACCGTTGTACTATTTTGCTTAATCCTCTAAATGAGCTAGGTAGCCATTCGTCTCTGTGAGGTAAGTACTGTTACTCTTTCCATTTTCCAAGCGGTCTAAACACATGCTTGTTTGAACGGGTTAGTGAGTTCTGGCCTGTGTACTTAGCCTTGCAAGGGGGGCCTGTCATCATTTCTTTGATGACCGCCTGAGGCTCAGAGAGGTTACATGATTTGTCCAAGGTAGCACAGCGATCAGAGGGAGACGCTGGCGTTGAACCAGGTTTCTCTGAAGCCCCACCTTTCCCCACCCTCTCAGGTGGAGAGGATGTCTAGTTTCTGACCTCAGACATCGCTTCAGGAAATCCTGTCTGTAGCTTCAGAGCTCAGCAATCTCTGGCAGGTATGGCTGACCAGTTCCCCACGTAGCTGGCTGAGATCCAGTTATATCCTCAGGACCACAGAGCCCCGGCCTCCCACTTAGGTCTCCTGCTGCCCACACTCCTGCCTTGATCTGCAGCCTGATAAAGGCTGGGCCGCAGGCAGCAGGGCTCAGTAAGCCTGGCTCCTTTGGTGGCCTCCCCAGAAGCCCTGTGGCCATGACGCAGCTGCTTCTGCTGATTGTGGCCCTCCTGGTCCTGGGTCATGTGCCACCAGGTAACATCACCTGTGTGTGTGTGTGTGTGTCTGTGTGTGTGTGTGTGTGTGTGTGTGTGTGCAGAAATGAGGGAGAGCCTCCCAGATTCTGGGGGACAGAGGAGGCCTAGACCAGCGATTGAGTTCTGGCCCCCCCACTGAGTTGCTGGGCACCTTAGGGCAACTTTCTAAATCAGTCTGCACCTCAGTTTCCTAATCTTTAAAATGGGACTCACTCGACAAATACGTATTTGAAAAACATTTGCTGTGTCCCAGCACTATGACAACCGCTGGGAGAGGAAAAAAAAGTCCTTGCTTTCACGGGGCTGATAATTTTAGACAGAAAAGAACCAAATAAACACATCATGTGTCAGGTGGTGGTAAGTGCTAAGCAGAATAGAAGCAGGACAAGGGGTTAGGGTGGTGTGTGCATGTTGGGGAGGATGAGAGAGCTGATGGGGAGGGTCACGGGAGGCCCTGCGTGGTTGTTTGTTTTTGTTTTTTGAAAAACTTGAAATTTACATGAAAGTAGAGAGACCAACACAAGAAAAAAGGTGAGTTAACGAAAAACCATTTTATTACGGAAAAATGTAAACGTATGCAAAAATAGAGACTAATGTAATGATGTAAGTTTTCAAAAGAAACCTTATTTTAGAAAATGCCAAACACAAATAAAAGATAGTATAAAAACCCTCTGTGTCTCATCACCCAACCTCAGCAATTTATTTGTTTTTCTTTATTTGTTTTTTAATGTTTATTTATTTTTGAGAGAGAGACAGAGCGAGAGGGCAGGGGAGGGGCAGAGAGAGAGGGAGACACAGAATCCGAAGCAGGCTCCAGGCTCTGAGCTGTCAGCGCAGAGCCTGACACGGAGCTTGAACTCACAGACCGCGAGATCATGACCCCAGCCGAAGTCGGACACTTAACCGACTGAGCCACCCAGACGCCCCTTTAACGATTTTGTGTATAAGGTCGGCTTGAGCGGAGATCTGACTACAGTGAGAATACAAAGAAGATCTTTACAAGCAGCAGGAGGCAGAAGAATGATGGGGGTGTCTGAAGAGCAGTGAGGGGGCCAGCGTGGCCGGAGTGGGGGGTACCAGGAGAGAAGTGGAGCAGGGGTGGCGGGGAATACAGACCATGTAGGAGGAGACAGCACCTCTGGGTCTCAGGGTCGCTGGAAGGTTAAGATGTGATGATGTGTCAAGAGTAGTTGTAGGAACTGCCTTCACCTGGGAGTCAGGGTCTTGGGTTCCTATTCCAGACCCACCGCTTACTGGCTGGGAAAAGTTGGGTGAGTCCCTTTCTTGATCCATAAAATGAGAGGATTGGCCTCCAATGAGTCCTGGTTGCCCCCCCCCCCCCCCACGCCGGAAGCTGTCATTCTGAGAATCTACCTTTCCATTTATTGAGTATTTACCGTGTGCCAGACACTGTGCTAAAATGATTACATCCCCTATAACTGCCCCCCTGAAAGGGAGTTATACAGCTGAGGAACCTGAGGTCTCCTAGAGGACCTTAGAGGGGGCACAGGACGCATTCCTCCAAAGCCCTACCTTTTCCATAGCCCATGGGTAGAAATTCCTCCACTAACATTAAATGGATCCATATGTGTGAGGCAGTTTATGCTATGGTTATAAGCGGACTCTAGAGCCTTATTACCTGGGTTTGAATCTTGGCCCTGCTCCTTAATGACTCTCTAAACTTGGGCAAGGTTGTTAATCTTTCTGTGCCTCAGTTTCCTTACCCTGTATCACAGGGATCATAATAAGACCAACCATAATTGTACAGTGTTGTCATGAAAAGCGCTTAGAGTGTACCTGGGGTGTGGGTTAACCTGGACAAGAAATTAGTTTCCAACTTGTAACCAGTGGTCTAACTTGTGATCTATAAGGCTAACCTGGGCTGAAATCTGTGGGCTCATTTGTAACTAGTTGTCTCATCCGTGACTAGTGGTCTGGTCTGTTGCCTCTAGTCTAACCTGTGGTCAGAGTTCATGTCCTGTGGCCTCAGTTATGACCTGTGGGATGTCGTATGACCAGTCACCTAACACAACGACCAGAGAGCTAAACGGTGACTTGTGATCTAACCTGGGTCCTGTGGCCTAACTTGTGGACAGTGGTCTGATCTGTGACCTGTGGCCTAACCCTTGATCTATGGTCAAACCTGTGAACAGTGGTCTAACCTGCAACCCATGGGCTGCTCTGTGACCTGTGGTCTTCCTCTGCATAGGGAGAAGTGAATTCAAGCGGTGCTGGAAAGGCCAAGGGGCCTGCCGAACTTACTGTACGAGGCATGAAACCTACATGCACATGTGCCCAGATGCCTCCCTGTGCTGTGTCGCCTATGGAATCAGGCCTCTGCCCTCTAAGACTG